TTCACAGGTATCAGCATATATAGTTAGTCAGGGTGAGAATCCTACCAATTAACTTCTAGTTTCAAAAACCTGATAGATATTCTTAGGACCATTGCCTTAACTATCTTGTGCATATAAATATATGGCTTTGTCCCTGCCATGTTTCCTAGATTTTCTCCTTGCCCTCTCTTAATTGTTTAATTCTTAAGTTCTCACTTTTCCAATGAGAAGAAAGATTTGTACTAATAGTGTTTAGACAAGATATCATATCTGCATCCTGTACTATGAATAACTACTACAAAGACAATATGCAATGTATTAATTATTGTAACTGTCCTACTAACCTGTCATGAAACTGTCTCATTGCTACTTCTCAATAAAATTAATTAAAAAATTAAAATAAAAAATAAAAACGAAAAAGGAGGAGGAGGAGGAAGAGGAAGAAGAGCTTACTCTGTGGAGTAAATGGAACCAATGGCCATGCGACAGCGCAGTGTCTGCATTGCCAGGGCAGAAGACGGAATGAAACCGCTGCCCTGTTCTGGGCATCTAAGTCCCAGTCTGTACTCATCTCTACTCAAAGCACTGAAATTGGGGCACAGCCTCTTTCCAGACCTTGACTTGGACTATGAGCTACAGCCAGCATCCTAGCTCTCTACCCTGCCCCAACTCTCCATTCTGCGTCAACAATCACGTTCTATTGTGGTTTATATCTGGACACCCTCCCACAGCCTCAGGCTCACAGGCAGGGGCCTCTGGAAGGGCACTAGCCTATGCATGCCCTGCAGAAGACTTGCTGTGAGGAGGTGGAGTCTGGTTAGAAGAGCTGGGTCATGCAGCATGGCTCCACCCTGGCTCTTCCTTTCACTCTGACTCCTGGCCACCATCAAAATGAGAAGCTTTTCTTCCAGTACACTATCCTGCCTCAGAGCCGGTTGGCTATGGATTGAAGTGCTGAGCTAAGATGTACCTCATCTTCTACAAGTTTCAGGTGCAGGATATTTTGTCCCAGCAAGGAAGAAAGTGACCAAGACATTCTCTGTGCCCCAAGTATCTCTCTCCTTGGCTTAGAGACACAGTATGCCCCCCCCCACTCCTATGACTTTCATTTCCTGAAGCCACTGGGCTGGCTCCTGTGATGGCCTCACTTGTTCCTGACTTGCCCCCTGCTCATGCACAACTCTTCAGTGTATGTGGAGTATTCATCTCTCTCAGACCCAAAGTCCAGCCCTGTATAGATGCAGTAAATGATCCTGGCCAAGTAACCAACCTCTAACAATCACAGTCTACCTGTCCACTTTATGTATAACACCACAAAAACTAGAAAACTCATTTCTAACAATAAAGATCATCAATTGGTGTCATATATACATTCACACAGGACTATTACCTGTGCAGCAACACCATAGAAGAATAGTGACGTGGAAAAATTCTCATGAAATATTAAGAGAAAGGAAATTACAAAACATTTTTGTAAGGAAAATTTCCTTCTGTAAAGGAAATTACCAGAAATATTTTTCTGGTAAGCACATTTCTATACCTGTGCAGAAAGGCAGAGTAGAATTATATGCATCATAAATACAAGTAACTATTCTTTATTCTTTTTCTATATGTCCAATATTGTCAACAATAAACATGAATGCTTTTAAACTAGGAACAATGCTATTTTAAAAACCTTTGCTATTATCATTTCACTTTTTCCTGCTCAAAAAAAGAAAGAAGCCAACTGATGTCACAATAAGGACACACTACATCAGCCTATTTGTGTTTTCATAAAAGGTAATACAACTTGCTGTATTTTTCAACTTGGAAAAATAAAAAAGGACAGCTAAGAAAATTGGGCTAATTGGTCACATCAAGAAGCTAGAGACATGACTAGACTCCCAAAGGATTAATTCTTAAACTCCAGGAGGAACCAAACATTTTTCGATCGCCACCCTGCCCATTCAGTTCCCCCAAGAACAAAACATGTCACGTGCCACCCACAGGTCCGTATTTGGCCATCTTTCCAGGCTGTGTTCCACATGGTGCTGCACTGAAAAGCTCCCAGTGGAGCTGAGGCCCCATTCATCCAGTTTTGTCCCCCTGGTAATGAGCTCCCTCCTCCTACAGCAAAGGACTGGATGCAGAATGATGCCGGCCAGAGAAGCCCTCGTGCACGGTCTGTCCAGGAATCCAGGAGCTTGGCTACAGCTCTGCCTCAAGAGGCCAAGGCAGACAGTCATTTCAGTGGGAAATATTAGTTTGACTCAGATACTTTTCCCTGGCTATGGGACTCTGTGATGTGGTCCCAAATCTCCAGACAGTGCTTACCTAGTGTCCTACCCCCCACACAACTCTGGGACAGGTCTCCTCACCCAGGAGCTGCAGCCTGAGAAATACACACTGATCACACACTTCCCTCCCTGCAGATGCATGAAAAAGCCTGTGTTTCACATGTGCAACCCTTTCTAGTCCCAATCCAGCATCATACTTGAGGACAGTGACCCAAAAGATCACTGGCCTCGTTTCTGCAGAGCTGGACCTGGGGGCTCACAGAGTAGTTCATATTTATACCCATGATCCCCTTGTCAGTTCCTTCAGGTATTCCTCCTCTCTGCAAGGAGGTAAGAGGCCATACATTCCTATCGATCTGTTCCGTGGGCTTCCCCAAATCTTTCCTGAAGCAAAACTAAAGTGGCTCCAGGAACTAGTGAAAATTAGAGGAGATAAATGCTAAAACATTCTCATGATCACAAACATAATTTTTTATGGCTTGTACAATAAACGATTGAGCCAGTTACTCTCCGCATATGCTATGGGCTTCTTAAATTGCTCCTGGAGAATTCAAACCGTGCATGGACTAAAAAGCCACCTACTGGGGCCAATCTGTGCAGCAGGCTTGCTCTCTCTTGCTCCCTCTACTCAGGCCATGAAGGCATTTTGGAGGGACTCAAAGTGGCCATCTCCACAGCTGTGTACTGTTACGCTTTGGAATCAGATCTGACAAGCGCCCCCGAGATGTCTATGCACCCTGAAAACAGACACTCAGCCAACTCTCCAGCTAGTACAGAGGAAAACAGAAGCCCAAGTAGAAATAGGCTCAAATGGTCTTCCTACCAAAGATTCCACAAATCCCATGGACAAGAGCTCAGAATTCACAACTCCCCTCTGCTGTCCGCAACTCTACCTCCCACATCCCAAGCCAAAATGCCTCCTCATCCTGCAGCTTCGTGCACACAAACCAAGCCTCCTACGGGGAGAACCTAGGGCCTCGCTCCCGAGGGATTCTATCCAGAAGATGCAGGCGGGAAGCCCAAAGAGCACTTAGCATTGCTGAGACTTCGGGTGAAGTCCTGGGCGGCGATTTTTCGACTTGATTCTGTCATCATTCTATTGAGAGCTCAGGTTTGTGCCTGCCATTTCCCTCCCTGTGCCGATTCACATATTTGTTGTTAGTGCTACAGAAAAAACAGCCGTCACGGTCCTAGAGTGACAGTGGTCAAGTCAGGGACCAACTGTGCGGTGAACTTGGGTGACCTTTTGGCTACATGCTGGTCTGCCATAGATCCCTCGAATACCTTCCCCGGAAGCTTGAACAGCAACGAAAGATGAATGACCACCCTGGGTCAAACCCCACGGTACCCATCCATAGCCATTGGATGCCTCTAACCATACAGGAGGAGGGCCCAGCCATCTCTTCCTGAATGGTCCTCTCCAATACTGTGTGCTCCACAGGTAAATCACAACCGCAGAGAAGCGCATCCTCTCCACCTTCCCCACCAAACTACATAGCTGCATGAATTGTGTCCCACAGAGGCATCAACTCCACAGCCAGGACAGAAAGGCACAGAGGAAAATCAGCATCTTGGCACTTCCCCAGCATTCCAAACCACAGGGTCTCAGAAAGCCTGAGCCCTATAAGGCGGATATGAAGCTTTCTGTCAAATTCAGTTCAAATTCTATTTTAACTGAAACCTACAGATTATAATTAACTTTATACCCCAAGGCATACTGCACACTGCCTTCGGGAGGCATGAAGCTTCCCCAGGTAGAGGTAATTTTCTCAAAGCTTAGCACTCAGTGACTAGGGCTGCACCAGAACTGTCAGGCAGCTGTGGGACACAGACTTCCACCCGATCAGTTACGGGTGGGAGCTGGGTGGCCAGTCCTGCTCTTATGCAGGAGCACCTGGCAGTGCCTACGGGCGGTGTCCGAGGGCACTGCCGGTCACATGAGCAACTCTCAACTTAGCCTTTTCGTTTTTTTCTCTGTCCTAGGAGTTGGATTCGGGGCTTTCTCACTGAGCTGCATCCCAGGCCCTGTTTTATTTTGAGGCAGGATTTCACTAAACCATTAAATTGCCCAGGCTGGGCTTTGAACATTTTTGTGATCTTCCTGCTTCAGCCTCCCAGCGTGCTGGGATTACAGGGCTGTGGCACCACACCCAGCTCACTTAGCTGCTTTTCCAGTATAAAAATGTCAATGCCCAGTAATTTTTACAAATAAGCACATACTTTATTTCTTCCTAAAAAATCCAGTGTCTGAGTCCACCCATGCTGCTGAGAATATGATCGGAAGTCACCAACTTTGAGTTACAACAAACTGATGCGACACAGTTGCCTTTCCTTCTGAACTGTGAAAAGACAATAACCGGGAGTCTTCTGATTCTTCAAAGCTGAGGTTTCCAACATGCACACCCCAACTATGCTTTGGTGATGTACAGCAGGCAGCCCAGAGCCCCCCAGCCCCTAATCAAGCAGGCGACGCCCAACCTTAACTGCTCTGCAAAGCTGCGGCACACAGGAGCGCAAATCCTGCTGCAAATGAGAATCACCTGCAGTGCTTTCTAAAAACTGCTGCAGCCCCAGCTCGCCCCTTTCATCAGGTACACCAGCATTTCTGGGGGTGCAACGCAAGCAGTAGAGTTTTTCAGAGACCAGCACCTATGCACCCAGCCACGCCAAGGACCGGGTGCCCTGGGCCCCAACATCCCCACCCACTTCAGCGCTGCCACCGCGTGTAGCCCAGTCAGCGCCTACCTATGTAGAGAGAGGAGTCCTTCCTCCGCACGTGGTCGTCGATGTAGGAGACTCCCAGGGGTTGCACGGGGGTAGCACCAATGCCCAGGAGCACCTGGGCCCCAATGAGCAGCAAGTACATCATGTTGGTGGCTGTGCGGTTGCGGCAGATGAGGTCTGGGTCAGGGCCCTCGTCGCCGCTGGAGCCATTGGCTGCACAGACGTCGCGGCCCTCTGCGCCCCAGCGGATCTCTCCGGCCTCGTACTTGTACTGGTGCGTGAGGAACTCGGGCAGCGCGGACAGCAGCGCGCCCAGCGCCATCACGATGCCTCCGCAGCCGATGAGCCGCGGCCGGTGCCCGCGCGCCCCGAAGTAGCTCACGAAGAGGATGAGCGCCAGGTTTCCGATCTCGAAGCTGCTGGCGATCACGCCCACGTCAGCGCTCTGCAAGTTGAACCTGCGTTCCAGAGTGGTCAGGACGCTCACCTGGGGGTGGAAAAGGAGACATCAGGGTTGGTGCGCAGGGAGGGGGAGGGGGCGCAGCCCTGCCTTCCGGGAGCTCCCACCAGCCTGGCCTGCACGACCGCAGAAGTGCAGGAAACCCTGACACTCAGAATCACGTTTTACTTGATGCGATGACCCTCACCCAAATCCCTAATCCAAGGCTTAAAGAATTCGCTTTCCCAGGAGTAAAGATGACTTTCTCTGTGAGTTTCCATACTACAAAAACTGTTTCTCCTCTGGAAGCGCTCATCTTCTGGACCTGTCCACTGTGGGAACCGAAATTCCCACAAAAGCCCCGAAATGTAGTGTCCACACAGTCCCAAATCAAGGCCCTGCTAGGAGGACACTAACTTCAGCAAAGCCCACCGAAAAGAATTAAAAATTATATATATATATATATATAATCTCCAAGTGGTAAATCGCACAAGCTAGATTAGCTCAGTAGGGTACCCATGCACTCCACTCCTTATGGAAATGTGGATTTCGCCAAGGGCTATCAGAAAAACACACCGCGACTGTTCTGAGCATTAAAGCCCTGTTGAAAACCCCTAGGTGCAGGATTTTTATGATTTTTCCTCTCCTTTGTATTCTTATCTGTCCTATATTTAATAAATATTTGCGGAACATCTGCTGTTTGCTCAGCAGTGCCTGAGACACAAAGGATGGAAAAAATGAGGAAGAGCTGACACCTGGCCCTAAGAGGCCACCTGGCAGGAGCAGAATTGTCCTCAGCAGCAACAGAGCAACGAGAGGTGACATTCGTGATGCAAAGGGCACACTGGGGGCCCAAGAGCAGGTGGCTGCTCTATTCTGTTTGCAAGTTCCACACGCATCCCGGTTGTAGGTGGTCTGACAGCTAAATGAGGCCGGGCAGGTAAGAGCATGGGCGAAAGAAGGGCGAGATGGTGCACCGGGCAGCACAGGCCAGGACAGAGACGCTCTGAGAGATGCGCAGGGGGTGGATGGCAGGGAGCTGCAAAGGTAGCTCGGAGGGACTCAGGCAACTGCAAGCAGCGGGGAGAGAACCAGCCGTGACCCCAGGCAAATCCCTCCACCTCTCCAACCTTGATTCTGTGAATCAGGAATCATGGCACCCTCCCAGGCAGGGTGCATGGGCAGGTTAGCATAACGCAGGGAGACTCGCTTGGTACCAGGCAGCCTTTCTCTGAAGAGCAAGGGCACACAGAGCAGCAGCAAGGCATGGGGGCCCAAGTCAGAGCTCTGGGCCTAGCCTGCCCAGCTCCATTCTGATCTTGGCCATGTTACTTTTTGCTCTGGCTTCTCTATCTGCAAAAGGATGCTAAATCTTAAGGCTAGTGGCAGCACTAAACTACATGTGCATGTAAATGTCAGGTGAGGGTCAGCAGAACCATGGTCATTTGCTTCCTTTATCTATGGCTGTCATGCAGCACCCAAAGCTTTAAAAGCCTAAGGGCCACGCCAGATGTGGCAAATGAATGACAGAAGGGCGAGTCTATGAGTATCAGCAGGGAAACCAACAGGGCTGTCCTTTTTCATATTTTTCAAATCATTTATTTATTTGTTGTTTATTTATTTGGTATAGGTTCTTACTACACAGCTCGGACTCATAGTGATCCTCCTGTCTCAGCCTCCCCAGTGCTGGGATTAGAGGCGTGTGCCACCTTGCCTGGTCGCGGTGGCCATTATGCCTCACCCAAGGTTCCAGGGCCAGCACAGCCTGTGGTACCCAGGTGAACCCGGGTCCTTGCACTTGCCAGGCAGGTGCTTAGACCACCAAGCTATCCCCCTAGCCCAACAGGGCTGTTCTTGGGAGAAGGGCAAAAGGCAGGCCACTGCCCACACTGCTGCCAGGGAAATCAACAGGAAAAGATGGGAAAAAAAATTTAAGGGATTCCGTTATATTTCAGGGTCACTGGGCTGGGTCTGCCAACCAATACTAAGGAAAGGAAGGGGAATCACAAGGAGTTACACCTCCTTCCCATGAGTGAATAAGGGCAAAGTAGTAAATGTCCGTGCACATGCAGGCATGGACACCGCTAATGACTCTACTTAGCCTCTACTTAGCCTCTTATACAAAGAGCAATGTGGCCAGCCCACTCTCCTCACCGTTTTCCACCATACACATTTAAGCAGGTTCCCTGGCCCAGTCTCAACGCTATGTGAAGATTGGAAGCACCCGGTGGCATGGAGAGCTGCAGGTGCACGGCCTTGTGAGGAGGGGGCTTCTGACTCAGCTGGTCTGGGGAGCAGCCTAGGGCCTGGGTGTTTTTTTTTTTTTTTTTCTCTCTAGCTGATTCTAAGGAGAATAAAGCATATTGCTAAGGCAAGGGCACATGCCACAGTGGCCTCTCCATCAGCGTGGGTTGTGGGCCATCCACACAGCAGTCATGAGCTCTGTGTAACCCTCTGTTGCTGAACCTCCAACTGTGATTCCTGTTCAATTGTGCTTTTACTTTTACAATGAGATTAGAGATTGCACCCAGGTCTGCAAGTGTGCCAGGCACGTGCTCTTAGTGACATCCCTGGCCCTTCTATGTGCTTTCTAATCAAGGCCAGCTCACCACTCCATCAACCCTAGTGACATGGTTAGCGACATTATTTTTCTTTTTTCTACCAGGGATTGAACTGAGGACCCTGCACTTGCCAGACAAGCGCTTACTCTATTGAGCTAGCTATCCCCCCAGCTCTGACATTATTTTTCTAATGCCAAGCATTTCGTTGTTGACAATGCAAGTTTGGCTGGCTCTGATCTCATTAAAATGGCTTTCAGATTCCCTCAAACATGTTCTTTCTGAAAGTTTTGGACAACTAAAAAAAAAAAAAAATCTTCCTGTATTCCCCTATTTCTGTCATGACACTTACCTACGGGGTGGACCAAATGCTCTAATAGAAGTTTAGAAAAGGCACTGCAGCACAGGAGCAGACAGAGTGGCAGCCTTTAGCGTAGGACAAGAGGCCCGTGGGGCATTACGACCACACCCTGCCATTGAGCTGGGTCTTGAGAGATGCCCGGGAGGCTGGATACAGGGGCAGAGCCAAGCCAGAGCAGGGTCCTCTATGCCCAGCTGACTCCTCCTCAGTGGTCCAGCGGTGTAGTCATCAACTTCCTGCTGATCTGACAAAATCAGACCAACAACTTCAAAGAACGGGAGCTTTACTTAGGCTTATGACCTCAGAAGTTGGAGCACACACTCACTTGGCAGTCATGGGAGTGGCACATGTGGGAAACACTGCTCACTCCCTAGTAGCCAGGAAAGTGGGGGAAGCCAGGGTTCTAATGTCCCCACCCCCGAGACCTATCTTCCCCCTACTAGGCCCCACCTCTTAAAGCTTCCACCTTCCAGTATCACCCCAGGCTGGGGGCTGACCTCTCATCACACAGGCCCTGGAGGGGTATTTAAGAGCCACCCTTTAACAGGTGGGTCTGCAGCCTGGTGACCTCGGCCATGGTGGTGAAGGGCAATGGAATGGGAGGAAGCATCAGGCCCAAGTCACATCTCATTTCTGCCACCAGGCAGAATGACATACACACTGGCCAGCGGATCTAAAGCATGACAGCTGCTCCATTGAGCACTGCACCCATCATAAAATTCCATGCTGGCTTGCACATTCACAATGGCAGATAAGGGTGGTGGGGACAGAGACAGCTGCGAGCAAAATACAACCTGACTAGTTCTTCGAGAGGTGGATCAGTACCTGCAGCTCGTGGTCTGGCTCCAGCCCACCACCCTTCGCACAGCAAGCACAGCAGGGGCAGGAAATCACAAGGTCTCTCCCTGCCTGCCCTGGGGAACACCAAAGGCCAGAGCAATGCCTGTCTGAATCTACAGTTGAGTTATACAAACATTTCTGAAATGATGCTTTGTGGATCAATTAGATCGCAGGCTAATGTCTTCACTCATTTAAAACACAATTTTGAGAACATGGACTAATTAAGTATGCATGAGGCCATAAAGCCCACTTGTGGCTCTGATGTGGCAGCGAGCAATTCAGCGATGAGGAGGCGACTTGCCGAGGGGAATGGCTGTCTTTACTTAATGGGCAGCAGCACTATTGCAGAGTCTTAATAATTAGAGACAGAGGACCAGCTACTCCAGGAGAAGAAAAGAGGAAATGTCCTCACCTTGGGCCGAGCAGAAATGGGGCATTAAAACAATGCAATATTTATCAGGTCTCTACTAACTTAACTCAGAGGGAAAACACTTGGGTTTCGGCATCTCCCTTGTTAAAAATAAAGATTTCCAAACTCTGAGATGAAACCTGGGAAGACGGAGGAATTCTTTCTGGGGAGGGGAATTGTTTGGTTTTGTTCATGGTGCTGGGGATAGAACCCAGAGCCACATGCATGCTGACCGATGACTCTACCACTGAGCCTCACCCTCCGCACGAGGTTGTACAGAGCCCCTGGTGTTCTGATGCCTGGCTGGGGCTAAGACCCCTTCCAGGCACACCATTTGCTGTCAGTCTAGAGCAGCAATGGTGAACCTTTTAGACACCAGTGCCCAGACTGCAACCCAAAATCCACTTATTTATTGTTAAGTGCCAACCCTGCAATTAAACCAGAAAAAGGAACTTGTACATGAACATCTTGTGTTCTGAAGGAAAAACAACATGCATGCCATGGGTTTGCCACCACTGGTCTAGGGCTATAGGCCCAACCTTTACTTACAGAACAATCAACCGTGGAGGTTGCTCTGCAGCCCCATAGCTTCTGGGCTGGGGCCTGAGACTCTGCACTCTTAACACACTACTGGGAGACTCTGAGAACCCCCACTATTGGTTTTCCTTATCTCCACGGGCATCTCCCAGCTCCCATTCGGAAGACTGAAGGGTTTTCCAGTTAGGCATAAATGGAAAGCACATTGTCCTCCTCCTGGGAAGTTCATAGGGACAGTGTCTCTGTAAGGGAAAGCTAAAGAAGCCCATTTCTTAGGGCCCCTTTGTCAGCTCATGCCCAACAGGAGGACTTTAGCCCATGCTGTCATAACTGCTGTGGCACA